TCAACATATATAAGAACAATCTGTAACATTTTTGTTAAATTCCCATTATTTTAAAAATTCTATAGGTATAAAATTTTTATATTCTATACCTATAGAATTTTTAAAATAATGAGAATTTAACAAAAATTTATTGCGTTTCCTAAAACAGTTTATTTAATAATAAATAATCTTCATCTCAAGGAATATAATATTCAAATGTAAACATACAAATTAGCTCATTATATAATAATTCCAGCATTTATACGTATTTTATTTTATTTTAATAATACTATAAATACGAGAGTTATAACTTATAAAAGTTATAAGCTTATATCTAATTTAAACAAAAAATTTACGCACTTTAACGAGCTTTTAATCACATAAACTCACTTACATTACTTTTTGAATTTCAATTAATATTTAATATGTATTGTTTACATAGCAATTTTTTTGTAAAAAAATTCAATTTTTTGAAAAAAAAAAACGAAATTTGTCTGATTTTTTTTCAGCAATTTAAAAAAATCAGTTTTTTTTTAACTATAATTCCTGATAATTGAAATCTTGCCTTTATTGGCCGAAATGGATTTCAAAATAAGAACTTTGAATGTTGTTTTATGCCTATTGAAGAAAGTTTAGCAAAAAATTATTAAGAACAAAGTTTCCTTATCTTTTTCCATAGAATACGAATCTGCAGTAAAATATAAGCATTTTCATCGAACAACTTAACCTGGGTTTTATTGGGTTGAAAGTGAGTTCTGCACCCAAAATCTAACAATAAGAACATCATTTAATGGTTTCTTTCGAACCCTACAACTTTATTTGAAACATTTTTTCCAAAAATGGATAATTTTCGAGACATTTTGTCTCTGTTAAAATGGCCAAACATGTTTCAGCCTAACTCGGATACAGAATCCATAAGATCTGAAGATTTGATCATTTAGAATACCTATTTCAAATATGATATTTCGACTAGTAACGTTAGTTTTTTGATATCATTTTTGCAATATAAAACGTTCCCTTGTAAGGATACTTTTGGTAGTTTTCCAGATCTTCCAAGAGGAGACGCGAGTGTATGAAAATTTGTTGGGTCTACCGAGAATTGAACCTAGGATCTTTGGCACAACAGAGACCAGTGCGTTGTCTGCTATGCCATGCTCGCGCTTCAAATAAGAACTTTAATCAACACAATATACGAATTGTTGCACAATTGAGAAATCGGAGAAATTCTTAGGCAAACCCAGCAAAGCAAATTCAAGCAATTTTTGTGATGATGATAAGAAGTGTAGGGGGTCTTTTTTTCAACACTAATAGTTGAACACGTAAGTAAGAATAACACAATTAAATTAGAGAAAAATCTTTTAGGAAGCTGGATCTTTTTTTTTAACATTTTAATATTTTTCTGATGTATTTAATATTTAAGGAGTGGCACCCGTTTGACCACCAATCACTCACAGAATGCTTGAACAGTGAAAAATCTCTAGTATCGGCCACTGTGAACGGCTGTGAATCGCAACGTGATTAAACGCTCCTATATTTAAGTATACATAATTACTAGAGATGTACGATATATTCGAATATAAATCGAATCAAATCAGGTAAAATTCAATTCGATTCGGATTTGAATCTCTATGTATGATTCGAATCCGAACTATTCGAATCTGAGAGGTTCGAATACGAATCACATATATTGACATATATACATATATTCTATTGAATCTTATAAAATCGTATTTCTTGCTAGTAAGTAAAACAAATGGAAATTTTTTTATTATCTGTATATTAAAATTCAACTTAACATTAAATGTATTATTTTAATTAAACGTTACGATTTAATTTAATTCGATTTAGATAAAATTTTGTCAATTTGGATCGATTCGGATTCGAACAAAGAAATTAAATTCGATTCGTTCGATTTGGAATAAAAAAAAACCTTGATTCGTACATCTCTAAATTGATTACAATATTGCTGTAATATCCCCGAATATTCTCTCACTATTATCCGTAGCTGATAGTATAGCCCATAGACAACATTAGAGTCTCTTTGATTGCTGGGTGCAGTTGACGTTCGATGTATCTAGTCAACGCTTGGCTAGCACCCTGCAAAAACACGTCCTCCATCTCCCTCGTGATATACTCCTTAGATTGCCAACTCCTGTTCGGATCCTCCGAGTCTACATCAGGGAACAGATTGTCGAAATTGTCGTCTACTACGAGTTCCCTCACCTCTCGCGACACATTTTGTGGTGGATCCTCATTCCGAAATTCGTCGGTCAGATTAAGAATTTTAGTGAAATTCGCAGACCGCTCTGTCGATTTATGTTTGTTTATCAGAGCGTCCGCGAAGTCCCGCGGCGTGATGACCATCGCGGTACGCGCGTACCGTGCCATTGAGCGTTTCCGACGTGACAATTTAGTGATCCAAGAATTCTTCCTCCATACTCCGATGTTTGTCTCGGGGGCATGCAAATAACGCGAATGTCGACTCTCATTCGGTATGACAATATCCATTTCTTCGGCATTACCCGCTAATTGTCTCGGTTCCGCCGCATCATACTTATCGTTCAGAGGCAACGATAGCGTTGGTGTTATCTAAAAAAAGATATAACAAAAAATATTTACAAGCATTAAATTTATGAAAATTAGAGTATAAGTATTAAAATTATTATAGCATATATATTTTATATAAAGCATATTTTTTCCCTAAATATGGTATTCTAATACTCTAATCCTACATTCTTCTTTTGAGTCAATTATTTAAAAGATTTTCGATGTAGAGAATGATTTTATAATCCATAATAATTTTAATTAATTAATAAAATATCTAGTTGTTGATATTAGAAATTATAGAAATTTAGAAATTAATATTTGTCTCTTTTTTACACTTTTGGACATAATTTTTTTTATTTAGCCTACCTTGTTGACACTGGCTAAGTGATACGGCGGCCATTTATCCTGCCGTTTGATTTGCTTGTCAATGCGCGTAGAACGGCAGCCGTACGCGTAGATCGACGCGAACCTGGGCTCCAGGAAGCTAGACTCCGTGCGTATACGCATCTGGCCTCGTCCGCGAGCAATCGGAGAGGTAAGAAAATCTATTCCCGCACGTCTTAGCCGTAATGTCATTCTACAGGATTCAGCCGAAATCAGGGCGCGATGATTTCGTGGCATTACGGATACCATCCCGGACACCGACAGGTCATTGAATACAACGCGCGTCCTTAGAGAATTGCGATCGGGATCATACACGCATTGTTCCACTCGTGCCCAATGGCTTCCGGACTCCTTCGGGTTTTCCGGGAGCTGCAAAACGGTCCAGTTTATTATCTCAACCCGTCTTTTATTTTATGCATAGATAATAACTTTTTTTTAATTTTAATCATTTTTGTGAGACTCTTCTATTTTACGCATAGATAATAACTTTTTTTAAATTTTAATCATTTTTGTGAAACTCATACTTTTAATTGTATAAAGAAAAGATTTTCTAAACATTCAAAACTTTTAAAAATTTATATTTAATATTTGACAGATTCTCTTGAAACTCTGCCTGTTTCTCTTTAAATTCTTAAGACAGAGAAAGAAAATTTTAAGCCTCGTTTAAAATCACAATAACGTTGATTGCAATCGGGCCTTCTATGTATCATAAGTTGGAACTTTAAATGCATGCACATAATAAATTCTATATTAATTATTATTAATTACAATACTATATTAACCAATATCTTTTTAATTGATGCAATAAATTTCTTTTAAGGTTGCAATTAACATACTTAATTTTGATTACAATAAAACTTCCCCAACATGTCACATATCACATCATGTATTATACATGACACTAAAATAATCCTTTTTTATAACTTTAACTATAAAATTTTCAAAATTGTGACATGATAGAACAATTTGACGTCTAAAAGACACGAAACAATTACCTTAGTTTTTTATGTTCGGAAAAAGTTATCTTTTAATTAAATAAGTGTATATAGTCAAACATAAATTTCCAATATAAATTAAGAGGATATTCTAGTCTAGATGCCAAATTTTTATGCTATTTGCGAATTTTTTTAAAAGAAAGTGTAAAGTTTTTTGGGACAGGGTGTTTTCCTATATATATTTATACATATTTGAAGTATATTTTAAAATAATATTTGTATTTAAAAATAACTATAAATAAGCGCTGTATACAATATATCGAAATCACGTTTTTCAAATTGGTTCCTATGATATCTCGAAAACCAATTGACCAATCAAATCGGACTTGTGCACACTTCAGCATATGTGTGGCTATAGCCCTTACCACGATTAAGTCAATATATACATTTTTAAAATTTTTACAACGCTTTAATGGTGAAAAAAATTGCAAAAATTAAAACTTAATTTTCAAAATGATGTCAATTTTTAATAGTTATTTTTAAATACAAATATTTTAAAACATATTTCAAATATGTATAAATATGTAAGAAAAAACCCCGTTCCAAAAAACTTTATATATTTTTTTTTAATTCGAAAAAATAGCATAAAAATTTGGCCTCTAGACTAGAATACTCTTTAAATATAAATAAAATATTTATAAAATTTTTATAAGAAAAAAAATGAAATCCGTTTCATACGTGTTAGAGCCATATGTTATAGCAGGTCGGCCAAACTCGCATTAGGTCAATAAAACAGACTTTTCAATTTCCAGTGTGTGTGGTATTTTTAAATCAATTTCTTACAATATATATTTATTGTTCTGTCTCTCTCAAACGTGTATATTTGTTCTTATCTAACATATTTAAAACACCATCCAAGCACCATTAAAGCACCATCTTTTGCAAAATCCGGTACTTACTAGATGCAATTTACTCCGTTTATCACTCTTATAGCTATAATAAATTACCATAAATTGCAGCTCTTTTATGTTTTTAATCGTAGCTCAAAAGGATTATTATATTGTATTATTCGTTTATATAATCCGTGGTGTGGGACGTATTTTGTACATATGAGCTACAGAACTTTCACACTAATGAAATGTTTACGTCAGGTGACAGCTGTATGATTCGAAAAAATGTATTTTTAATTTTTTTTATTTTACTACAAATTCGTACGTCTCACACCACAATTTTATGTCTATTTCAATCCCATGTGAAAGGATTTTCAATTCCGTTCAGTCAATTCGGAGATATTTCAAGAGATACGGTAGTGTCTCACGCCAAGTATGCGTATAACTGCAATATGTGTCGATAATTCCGACCTTTTAGCATCGCCTTAAAGAAATCCAAAAGAAAGAGAAATTTTAATGTTTGGAGAGAATATTACCTTCACGGCCATACGAGAGACAGACATTTCCAGGGGGGCGGAATGTAGTTCGCGCTGATACAACGTTCCAGCCTCTTCTTCGTCCAACTTGTTTCTTCTAGTAGAATCTCTGTGTAGTGCGTCCAAGGCGCGTTCCAATCGTCCACTGCACGCATCCCACTCGCTAATACCGGCATACGTGAAACCGATCGACAAGAGCTTAAATAACCAAATTGCCGGCTGTCTGAACTGCATTACCTATGACAAATGTAATAAAATTTTGTCCATTACGTGCGATGTAAAAAAAAATTTATCGAATTACAGCTAGCGGTGAGTTTAATTAAGAACAAGTTTCTAATTTTTCGCAATCGATTGCTAGCGATGATAGAAAATGACACGCGGAAAGAGCACGATGCCTCGTACGTAATTAACAACACGGAATTAATCAAATTTTTGTATTTTAAGTCGTACAACGATGATTACGGGTTTACGTGCATCCGCCTATGTCTCGCTATTAAAATATCTCCCAAGGCATATCCTGTAGAAACTCGGTGAACTCGAGGCGCCGAAACAGAGCATGAAAGCGTCTCCATTCCGCTTGTCACCAACAACAATCGAATTGTGTGAAACTAGGAAGTATGATCTTTTGGGACTTAGGTAGTTCGTTAACGTTAATTGAAGCACGCGACGAAGCGGTATGAATTTATAAATCTGTTAACGTCATCTTTGACACAATCGGTTCCTTGGAAAAGCAGAATAATTACATCGATAACGAATTTAATTAATAGAAATACGTTTAATCTTATAGAATCTCGTCTTCTTTTCTTCTCTCTCTCTCTCTCTCTCTCTCTCTCATAATTAATAAACTTTATATATATAGCTAAACTACGCTAAACTAAAAATTTATCGAAAAGTTTAATACTTGAAATAAAAGTACTTATTTTTTTAACTAGATAATATCTTGTGTTACTGCAATTTGGCACGAATGGCCATGCGTTATACTACTGATACTGTTTACAACCCGTACAAACGAATTAAGTTGCGAAATTTTTCAACGACGTTATGGCGAAATTGCATTGTTCGCCCTTGTATGCTAATGCAGAATCCAACTCTATTCATCCCGCCGTCGTTCTCGCGCTCCGTTAATCATTTTGACCGCGTTCAACAGATATTCGCGCAGCGGTTGGGCAATTCACTTCCCTAACTTCTCATTACGTTACTATCCAAAACACTTAAAGGAGTCTAAAATACACATGTATCGGATCTCATATAATTTGAATATAGTATTTTTTGTCATTGTATCATATGCTATTGCAACTTACTAAAACTTTTGTTCTTTGTGTGTTCAAAATATAAATAATCTTGAAAAAGTCTCTTTATTAAGTGTCTGTGTTTGACTTAACTTCCAGATTTTTCCATTTTCTTCTTGAAAAAACAATACATTTATGTGATTTTATGTATATATTTTTAAATTAAAATATAAGTTCAAAGTAAATTTTGATAAAAGACGAACTATCATCAAATAACACCTCCTTTTCTTAACGCAGTTGTTCACAAATTTTCCAAATAAATCTCAATATTAAATACGAATTTAAATAATAAAAAAATTTTTATTTTTTTTTTCAAGAGCGTAGAAAAATAAAATGAGGAAAAGTGTTGAAAACTTTTTGTTACGATATCATTTAAGATTAAAATCAAATGATCTTAAAAAACTAAAATTTAAAAAGCTAAAAGTGCTCTCACGCTGTTAGGCGTTTACTTCTTTGCTTCGTTTGCTTCGGACATTTTCGTCGCTCTGATTGTCATAGGCGCGTATGCTTTCGCTCTACTGCATGTGTTTGAATTTGTAATTCGTTAGAATCTGTAATTTTGGAAAAAGATTGGACACTTACTTCGCAGAGTATTCAGATCGCTTTCGTCTTCCGACGACAACAGATAAGTCAGCTGGTGCTCGTGGTAACGCACGCGAAATCGCTCGCACCTCTTCACGTCGAGACATCGAAGAACAATGAAAGTGCTAGTACGCGCGCACCTCTCGGATACGCATGGCGATTTCCCGCTGGAGTTATCCTTTCTCGACAAGTCACGTTACGCGCAGCTACTATACGAGTGAGAGATATGAGGTAAAAGGTAAAACGGGCTTCATTCGAATGTAGGACGGGCTACTACACTATATAGATTCTAATTAATCTAATAGATAAAATACTTATAGGACTGTTACAATCCACTTTAAACTGATCTATAATTTGTAATAAAATTCTATTTTATAATTTTACGCGTTCTGTAATATAGCTATAAAAAATATATTTAAAGAGTCAGAAAATACATATATAAAATATGAAATATTTTCGTAAACATACATACAAAATCGAAATTAAACATTTTTCACAAAGTTCTTCATTTTTCGGAAAACTTTTCAAAAGAATATGTCAATAAATATAACCTTTATATTATCACATAATTAATGCCCACGTAAAATATTTTATATATAACTTACCTTACCTATAATAAGAAATTGATTTATCGCGACTACCACACAGTATGTTCGGCATTTTTATTATATTATATCCGTTAAATAATATGTAACGTCTGTAATAGTTGAGTTAGCTGTCATGGAACTAAGTATCCAAGTCATCTAGGTCTTCACCGTTCGAGGAAATAAATGTCTACATGGTCGCTATCGAGGAAGCGAGTGTCTATGCATGTGTTCGCCGTCAAGGAACAGTGTCCAAGTATCATCCAGAATATCAGAACTACACATATCCAAAATTAACCAATTTGACGGAAAGCCAATTTTCATAAGATTGGTGCGAGGTTCTTTATATAATTTTTTGTTTTTAACATCATAAATTGGATATGAAAGAACGGAAGCTAGAAAAATGGATAATACAGAAAATTCAATTGTAATATACACATAAATACATACGTACAGATTTACTATATAATATTTACATAAATTTACAAATCCATTGAATCAGCAGCAGACATTACATATAGAAATACAAGTATCATAAATTTTTCATGATTTTTATATATATTGAGCTGTATTATTACTGACTGGCGAAAATTCTTCGTTATACATTTCGGCCTTTTAAATTTTTTCGATAATTTTACAATCGCGCGCAAGTTTATTTTCCTTCTTTGATTTCTTCAGCATTTCATTGATATTGACATATAATGCAATCACGGTGTTATGTGATTACAAGAAATCGAAATTTGCGGCAAGCCATTGAATAAAATCATTTTTTCTCATATTTTGTGAATTTCAAATATTTTTTTTGAGAATGTATTTCTTTTCACATTTTTACCACGACTAATCAAACTAGTGTAAAGAATAATTTTAGTATAGATGATAATATAATTCTTAAAATTAACGCAACTGAAGATGATAAATTAGAGGTATATTTAAAGTCTCGCGCACGAATTAGAATAAGAATTTTACGCAACCGAAAATATTGCATCCAAGATCCTTGCTCATCTACATCTGAGTGTACAGTTCTAAAGCCTACTCTACAATAGCCGTAAGCCGTAAGCCATAAGACGTAAAGCCCATATCAGACTAAAGATTGAGATTGAGATTGGAATAAAATTTGACTAATCAAAACAAAATTCACTAAATTTGAGATTAGTTTTCTTTCTTCTAATTGATTAAATCTCAATTCAATCTCAATCTCAATCTTTAGTCTGATACGGGCTTAAGAATTAATCAATCATAGTCGAATCTGAAAAGAATAATCGACTATGATGAATTAATTTTTACGGCTTACGGCTATTAAAGAATAAGTTTAAGATAGGTCTGTTCAATACTTCGTCCGCGAGCTAAACATTTCCACTTTTTCATCATCTCTAGTTGAATGAAGCCTACTCTTCAATAGTCATAAATCGTAAGAATTGACCAATTGTAGTCGAATGTGAGGAAAATAATCGACTATGGATCACATGATAAAGAAGTAGAAACGTTTAATTCGCAAAATATTGAACGGGCCTACTCTAAGATCTTAAATAGATACTTTAGTTTTATACATCACTGACATTCCATCTTGACGTTCATATTCAATCTTGTATTTATCGATTTCATACATACTCTCACTTACTATCTTACCAATTATCGACTATCGTGCATAGCTAAGATAATTCTACAACCAGTTCTGAACTTTTTACATTAATTCGATTTTTGCGTCTTTCGTGTTTATAAAAAGTAATAATCAAGCAAAAATTTTATTCCTTACAATTTGACGTAAATCCAATAGTCGAAAGTATCTCAAAATACTAATCTATCGTCACATGGACGTATCTTGATTCATAAGGCGAAATTTATATCACAATTCACTTCTTATTCTCTCTCGTTTAACAGTTGATTTAATAGTTGGTTTAACAGTTGGTACATGTACAGCACCTTGAGATTCATAACTTCGTTTTTCTATTTTCTCATCTGTTTCTAACGATCTAATGGTGTTGTAATATTTGAAAAATTTTCTCTTAATCAATTGCGCCTTCTTCCGATCCTTGCTAAGATCAACAGTAGAGCCCAAAATAAAATGAATGTCCTTGATATGCTCTAATTTAAGTAGAATGATTTTACGTTTATTGCGCGCGATTTTTTTATCTAAGAAACTTAAATGTCGTCTTAACTTTCTATAATCCTGCAGAAGTTGCTCGATAATATCTAAGCACAGCCTTCGAGTTCTAGCGATACACTTATCCGGCACTTCGCCAGTTCCCATCTGACAAATATTGGTCAGAGCTTCAACGTGGGAATCACCATCCAAGTTCGCTAGCACAAAGTTCAGCAAGTTTGGAATGGTAATAGGAACAGAAAATGGAAACACCGTACTATCCTCCTTTCTGAAAAAAATATCAGCACAAAGAAATATTATTATTTGAACTGAAATGATATATTTTTAAATCAGAATAAATGTTACATATGAATCAAAGTCATTTATCCCTGCAATGGCACACATGGATCGTTCGTATTTATATTGTTTCTAATCCTTGCGCATGAGTGTACAGTCGTGGACACATCGGTTGCGACACTTTTTTTAATAGATTTCTAATACATATTTAATATACATAATATATATTCTATAGATAACTAATATTTTGCAAATGCGAACCACGTTGTTACTATCTTTAGTCTAGAGACAGTATAACACCAATCGTGGTCCGCATTTACAAAATATTAGTGCGTTTTGAAATCTATAAAAAAGAAAGTGTCGCAACCAGTGTGTCCACGACTGTATATGCTCTAAAGCTTACTATACGCGATAGTCGTAAGTTATAAGAATTGATCAATTGTAATCGAATCTAAAGAGTATAATCAACTATGATAGATCAATTTTTATGACTTATGACTATTGAGTAGGTTTAAGGATTGTCCAATACTTCATCTGTGAACTAAACATTTTCACTTCTCCATCATCTCTCGAAAAAATAAATGAATCCTATTTCTAGTTTCTTATTTCTAATGCAGAAAATAATTTTTATAATTTTTCTAAACTTTTTCCAATGTTTATAAAGTAGAATAATTTAGTAAAAACCTAAAAAAAAAACATGCGTAAATTTTAATAGAATTTTTCGAGCACTTTAGGAGCCAAAATTGGGTCGGACATAAATGTCCCATGTGCGCCACTCTCAGATACATAGAAAATATGTATGCCATTGCAGTTATCAATGATAAAGAAAGAAACAGAAAGTTCAATAAAAACAGAAAGAAACAAAAAACAAATAAAAGATGTTTTCTTATAAATTTTAAAGCACATTAGGAAAAATAACATGCAAACAAATTTATTGATCAAGTTTAATGATGAAACTTTTCACAATTCACGCACCTTTTCGCAGGAAAGAATAAAATAGATGGAAACCGATTCATACTGTATTCCCAAGGTAAATCGTTGTTATCTCCATCAACTCTTACAAAAGTCAAATGATCCATATTGGATAAATAATATGCCACTGTCAAATATACGTACGATATAGCGTTACAAAATCCGCAGTAAGGAGAATGATACATTATAACAACGTCCTATAAAAAAATTTAATTAAACGTTAATCTATCGTAAACAATAAAAAATGTTACAATTAGCGACGAATTTTATCCCTCAATATACGATTTTAACATGTTTTTTATTTTAAAAATCTGCAAAACATTGTATACATGTACATTAATGATTATTTAAACATCCAAATCTGTCTATATTATACATGATCTGTCCCAAAAGTAATGAGACTTCTGGAAAAACCGTTTGATTGAAAGTAAATATTTTTTAAGTTAATATTTTTTAAGGTAGAATCCTTGATTAAGCGTCAATACAGCAGTTCCAACATTGCTGCCACTCTTCGTAACAGGAAGTCTTGACTGGACATGCCTTCCAGAACATTCGTTGCGGCTACTTGAACCTTTTTAATCGGCCCAAAACAGTATCGGGTACTTTTGGGATGATTAAAAAGGTCCAAACAGCCGCGATGAGTTTTGAAAGGCATGTCCGGTCAAGACTTGCTGCTACAAAGAGTGGTAATAACGCTGGAACTGCTGTATTGACACTCAGGAATCCTACTTTGAAAAATATTAAATGTATTTTCAATAAAACGGTTTTTCCACTTTCCAGAATTAGTCTCATTACTTTTGGGACAGACCATGTGTATTGTCCTCATACATATACATTATTGATATAAGTACAATAATCATACATTGCATATAACTGACCTTAGATGGATCCAAAATAGTATCTAAAAATGTTTTTGTTGACAGTTCTGGCACACGAATCTTTGAACGCAAATCTGAATTATTGCTATTGTCATCATTAAGCAATTTCTGTACCCTATAATGCCTTGAATTATCCGAACGCAATGTTCGTTGCAATAAGCCTTGGGTATAATTATTTATAAAATCAACGAGAGCATACTCGCTGAATTCATGATGCATGACATACTGACTTTCTAACTGTAATACAAAAAAATCATAAAATAGAAGAAAACAACATACAATCTGCAAAAAATAAAAACAAGAAATTTACAAGAATTGATTAGTTTTAACTCTTTGTTGCATAAACTGTTTTTATATTTTGTATATTTTGCTGAATCTTTGTATACGGAAGTTTTCGAAACCACTAATTGCAAACCTGAAGTCGAAATTTTAAAAGTCAAAATAACATATCCAATATGGTAATCAAATTCAAAATTTAAATGGCTTATACAGGGTGTAACTTAAATAGCGACCACTAATTATATAGTGCTATTCCTGACAAAAAAATTGAGTCAAAAAGTGAGATTTGTGCGTGAACATAGCGGCGAGATCATAGCGACGAGATCATAGCGACGTAGCGGCGCGGCGCGCGGCGGATCGCTCACGCTCATTACTACGCGCGCGGCTCACCGATGTGCGTCCGTTTAAAGAACGGCGCATATTGGATTAGTTTAACTTGGGAATAACTGCATAATTAAGAATTGTAGAAAAAAATGGTTCAGAACTTTTTGACTCAATTTTTTATCAGGAATAGCGCTATATGATTAGTGGTCGTTATTTAAGTTACACCCTATATACCATTAAAATTTTAATGTCTTTTAGGCATTTGATTTCAAATCTATAAAAATTTTAATTCTTATTAAAATTTGAAAATTCAAAATAGCGGATCCAATATCAAAGAAATTTTTGCTATTTTTTTCTCACAAAAGTTTCTTTCTTAGCAGAACTAACGATGATAATGTGATAAGCTGCAAATGTAAAGTTTTAGCTAAATATAAATAATTTTTCAAAAATTTTTAGTCGCTATATTAGATATGCTATTTTAAATTTTCGAATTTTGAGTGCATTTGAAATCGGTGATTATAAAAACATTAAAATGTAAAGATATTTAGAACATGTTTATTATTTTTTCCTTTCCAGCATAAATTTTTTTTAAATAGTACTAATTTTGATATTTTGTTTATAATTTTTTGTTAATGCAAAATAATTACATATTTATGTCATGTATACATTTGAGGAAAAAAGATACCAAATATGTTATGAAATGCAAAAAACATTAAAAAATTATAAAGGCAGGTATTTTGTATATAGGACATTATACAGCAAAGAGTTAAATAATGAAAATTTACGACAATAAACATACTAATCTGTTATTAAAATATGCTATTATCAAAACTTACTGAAGCATCCAAGATAACGACAGTAGTTTTATTTTTCCGCTTTGAAATATCAATCCCAAGATGCTCTGCAAAGTGGAAATAATGTAGACTATCGATAGCTATCAACGCTAATGTCTTATTGGTTTTGCAAACTGATTCTTTCAAACTGATATTAAACTGCCTCGAAGAATCTCGTGGGAACAATGACGGATGATAATCATTTCCAGCCAGCCATCTTTTGCAATCATCTTTTAAAAAATCTCTTTTCACCATGCTTGCAGATCGCGAATCGTTATCTTCCTTCAATAATGATGATTTATATTCGGTACCTGTATGTAGCCTTAAAACAACAGTTTCTTTTTTTCAACAAATTTAAAATAATGTATACTTGCATTTATACGTAAATGTATAATATTACCTCTTTAATTTTGATTCTTGCAATTTTGAAACATAATTCTTGTTATAATTATATATCTGTTTTTCATGCTGTCCAATCGTAACAGGAATTGTAAATACATCGGTATTTTTGCAGACATCATTAATTTTTTTAGAAATGATTATACAGATTTCCTTCTCTAATGGATTCATCACCTTTGTGTTACACAAGAGACATTTATTCATTGCCACGTTTGCACAGCAACTATTATTGATCCATTGTTGAATTGATATACTAGCAATTGATTCCTTTATTTGCTCGGTATACGTTTTGTTTTTCTTTAGATCAGCACATTCTTGATTTCTAGAAAGATGTCGGATCACCGCTGTACGTCGTTTTGCTTCCAAACGTGCAACTATATCCTTCACTAACATACTGTCCGCACAGTTATAATACTGCAAGCCGATCTCTCTTATCTGAAAAACAAGAACATTTTTTATGTAAATCAATGCAAGATTTGTATAAACTTTTGGGCTTGGAATTGAAATATGTCGGCGGTTATGTGTCGGCCCATTGCCATTTTTACTCTTCACTTAGCTATTTTCTCGTAGCGAGACGGTTAATCTGAGGAACGAGACTAGTTTGAGATCGTTAAAAGTTTTTTAACATGCTTCATATTCACCGTTCAAAAGTATATTATAAAATATTATTCTTAACAAATAATACATAAGTATATAATAATAATAATAATAACAATAATAATAATAAAAGTATCATTTTATACGTATGTTTTAATATACATAATTAATACCACATATGTACATACACACGTATATGTATGTACATATGTATGCATGCATATATATATATATATATATATACACACATAATTATATAATAAAACAATATGTAATTAATATCAAGTAATAATTAGTATTATATAGTCTGCCAATTTTTTAGTTCTGCCAGTTTTTCATCATCCGAGAGATACTATTACAGAAATGTTTTTTGAAGTTATGTAACACACAAAAAAGAACTTTTAACTGACACATTTCAATTTCAAACCCAAAAGTACAAATCTTGGACAACACTGATATAAATCATACAATTATAAATATATTTGAAAAGAATGTTTATTAAACTTTAATATATAGATCAAATAATAAAACAGTTTACTTAAATATATATGAAAATTGACTACAATATTCTTCTTAAAATACATCTTATTGTAACTCTTATAAATATTCAACTAAAATATCATATAAAAATATATATAAATATATAAAATCACAAAAGATTTTTTGGATTAGCAAATGTTTATAAATTATAAAATTGTTTACAAAAAACTACGTAAAAAAATAATGTAACAAGATATGACGTACCAAATTGTAAATATAATTTTCTGTATGAAGCGGATTACGTGGTGTAAAGAGAAATAAAACTGGTCCTTCCCGGAGATAGGGCGCAAGAGTGAGCGCTTTGATTCCGGGAGGCTGTAGCCAAAGAGATGGTTGATGAACAGAACTGCTGATCCAATTTAAGATATTTTCGGAAGTCCATTCATTGCCCTCCGGATAACTCTAAATGTTTTTAAAGCTGGTGTATTACGTAATGTAGGATGGTAGATTTACGCGTTGTACACTTACTAAAGATTCATTCCACATGAGCAACCTTGCTGATGGAAACTTGTATACCCCATAATGCAATTTGCTGGCTGATGCACTAGTCACTATAGCAAATATCAACTCTCTATTAGGATCTCTTTCCAATGATCGTATCGCGGCCTTATAAAACTCCTTGTATCCAGGAGTTCTATCCAATCGTGTAAAATTAAAATATCCAACAACCACTGCCTGCAAATTATCGGAATAATTAATCATTAAAATAATTATTAAAATACAGAATGTCCAGTAAATCGCCTGCAATACTTCAGAAGGTGATTCAGAACCCAAAAAGGAAAAAAAGGTTTAAACATAAGTCCGGAAATAAGTCGTTTCTGAGTTATAACCACTTTTATGTTAAAAAATTATAATTTATTTTTCGTAATCATGATTATAATAACAATCATAATTTATACAATGGTCATAATTAGTTATAATAATCCTTTTTATCCCAGAATTCACCATGTGGAGGCATAATTCACTTGACATCCCGCTTTTTTATTTTTATTTTTGTCAATTTCTCGACATTTTGTAAATGCGATTATATTATTTTTATAATAAAGGGTAAACATAAACAGGTATTTAAATCGAATTAAATAAGATGTTCAAAATAACCATCTTCAGCACAAATGCAGACTCTTATTCTTCTATCAAATAAATTCCGAAAAACTTTGAAAAATATTTGAAACCTTCCGAAATATTACAATTAATATTCGATTAACCAAACTCAATTTAAATACCTGTTTATGTTTACCCTTTATTCTAAAAATAATGTAATTATATTTATTAAATATTGAGAAATTAAAAAAAGGATAAATTAAAAATAAAAAAATAAAAAAGAGGAATGCCAAGCGGATTATGCCTTCATGTGGTAAATCTTGAAGAAAAATAAATTATTATCTAATTATGATTATTATAAATTATGATTATGTAAAATAAATGACAATTTTTTTAACAAAGTGGTTATAACTCAGAAATGACTTATTTCCGGACTTAGGTTTATAATCTTTTTTCCTTCTTTTTGAGTCCCGAATCACTTCCCGAAGTATTGCAGGCGATTTATTGGACACCCTGTATAAAAAATAAGTTCTAGACGATGGTTTTTTCAACAAAAATCCACCTACAGCACTCCTCAGCAATCCATTGTATCTCAATTATTATTATTAAAATGTATATTAAATTTTTTAATTTATTAAAAAAAAATAAAACAAAATTTTATTTTGAATGATAATTAATACTAAAGACTTCAGTAAATAAAACCAAAATATTTATTTACAAACAAAATTTACTTTCCTTTCTTCAAATAAGAAGAAAGTTCTTATTAATTTCTTAATAAACTTCTGAAGAATAAACTTCTTTAAAATACTTACATCATAGGCAACCAACAATTCCATTAGTTGTTCTTCATGTGTTATTCTAATAATAGGATTCATAAGTGCATCAAGGAAACGAATCATATATGGTGCTGTACGAATTCCTCTATAATTAATACCAGACTCTCTGGATGGATATAGCATCAACACTGGATAACCATGGATTTTATTATACTGCGCTCTGCACTCTGAATCGGGATGCCAACAATTAATGGCTGCAAAGAATATCTAAGAACACACACAGTGCCCAAGTGCTTATAAATACATAAAGAGAAATATAAGAGTCTAAATCACACAATTTTTTACCTGTGGATGATAAAACCGTGCAACGCTTTCAAATTCATGTCTAAGCGCCTGACTTTCTGCATCCCAGGGTGCATAATACATAACAAAGCTAAAATCCGCTTGCGTTATCCTCTCAATCATCGCATCTAGGTGACCCTTATAAAAGTCCAGTATCACAGAATTCTGATCGAAAAAAGGTTTCGCTGCAGGAGGCTTAGAGAGTTTGGGTGGTCTACAAAATCCACAATATTAATACATTAATAATGCATTGAAAATAAAGTCTACAAATACATAATCCTAATTTTAACATCCTAACTGTGTTAGTGATAAGAAAAAATTTTTATAGTAAGAAAAATATTTTATGAGAAATGTATAATATAAATGTAAATATAATAGAATTATTGTATTTACGTTTATATTATACATTTCTTCTTCTTATTATTTATATTAATAAACAAGTTCATAAAAACTTAATTAAAAAATTATAATAAAAAGACAATATGCTGTTAAATGAAAAAAATGCTTTTATTATCGTACAATACAATTTTATTATTTAAAAATATTGATTGTTTTTGTCGGTGATCAAGTTTACTTCATTCTTTACTTATACAACATCGATTCCATAGAGTACATATCCATGAGATAAGAAATTATTTTTCACAAAGAATTCTATAGATTAATACAGCAACGTTTATGAAAGGAAATATTTTTAATTTTTCCAATAAACATGTCAAAGCATATGGATACAATTGGATAATTGCTCGATACAATCTACTGAGCTCCAAAATCATCAGATTTTACATTATTAGATCTTTACGTTTTTATAGTAATCTTTTAATGATGCTTTTATAGACCTATATTTAAGTAAATTTTTTCCATAAAATGCATTAATGCAGTTTGATTGTTAAAATTTGGAGCGCTTTATACATGTATAAAAGTGTAGTACGTGTGTGTAAAAAATATGTATGTATGTATGTATGTATAGTGAGGGACAAAAGTTCTGAAACTATTAATTATTTCAGCTAATTATTTCAGAAAGTATTGGTTTTATGGAAAAATGTTTCAAATAAAAATTGTAGGGTTAAAAAAAATCTATTAGCTGCTGATATGATTTATTTGAGTTTTGGTTGACCTTGAAAAGCGCGTTAAAATCAACATAAAAATTTTAAATGGAAGCCTTGTTACATATTCTTGTAGCTGACATCGAATTTTTCAAAACACTATGATAAAGTTATTTTTTATTAAGTACTTTTTAAATTATAAGATTTGAAAGTTACAGGCTAAGTTCCGTAATCACACTTTTGGCGCTTACAACGTTCACGGAATCATTTTAGCCTTGTTGTTTATCAAATATGAAACCAGGATAAATCATACAGCGCATAAGAATTAAAATGGAATGCAACCACAATATCGCTGATATTAGCGTTATCTAAGGTGTACCACATGAAGGTTATCCAATCGAATTTACACCTCATGTGTGTAATGTGTGGGAATATGTCATAGCAAAGATAAGAAGTAGTTTGTTACTCCAGTAGCATTTTTTTATTCCAAATGTCAGCGGTATTATTATTTTCAAGTCTTATAACTCGAAAAGTACTTAATGAAAAATAACTTCATCATAGTATTTTGAAAAGCTCTCGACGTAAGCTACAAGAATATGTAACAAAAAATAGGAATTTCCATTTAAGATTTTGATGTTGATCTTAACAGCACTTTTCAAGGTCAACCAAAGCTCAAATAAATATCCCCAGCTAATAGATTTTCTTAAATCCTAGAATTTTTATTTAAAACATTTTCCCATAAAACCAATACTTTCTGAAATAATTAGCTGTTCCGGAACTTTTGCCCCTCACTATATAATATATATATAACCTAACTCACGAGCTGTGCAGAGCAGCCATAGCGGTAAAGGTGATCGCAAAGAGAAAACAAATAATTTCGTAGGAAAACATTTTAGCAGCCAGCCGTTCCTCTATCGCCAGCTTCTCCTTAGCCACGTCGTTACTCGACTCGGACGTGGATGTTGACGTGATCTGACGAGGTAGGTTATCGGCATCTCTCAGCGAGTTCGTCTCGCGCTCTTCACTGGACATTCGCCCAGCCATCGCCTGTCGTCACCGGCGTTCACCGCATCGCTGTTGCTTTCGAGCTTTTCTTCGAGCCCCTCTCCCCGCCAACCCTAAATTTATTCTTATCTTATTCAATTACAAGAACGATCTGTTTCCACTTTCTCACTAATCTGCCAGCGTTTCATGGCTGTTCATGGCTGAGACACCACTGACACGGACACCAGACTGAGAGTGAGAGCGGCCATATTCGCGAGTGCCATTTGAAGGAGCACCCTCTGGTGAGGTGTAGACAAATCACTCTAAGGAGAGTAACATTCAAAATTAACACAAGTAAAAATCACTGAAATATAAATACTGGGGGTCGATTGTGTATCTTGAAACGAGGTGAAAATTACAAAAGTAAGCGAATTCACTAGAATATTTTTAATTTCATTGGCCAGTATCTAGTGAATTTGCTCATTTTTATAATTTTCACCTCGTTTCAAGATACGCAATCGACCCCCTGGAACGCGCAAGGTCCATGCCATCTTTGTTAAGAGAAGATCCGAGAGAGAGCATTCAAAGTGGTATCTTTAGCCTTTTCCAAGCTTTACTGCGCATGTGCAATAGCAGAGAGGCTAATATATGTATAATAAGCTATATAATATAATATATAATATATA